TTTGATGGGTCGTTGAACACACCAAAATTAAATACTAAACTATACCAAATTCTATCAGAATAATGGCAAGTCCAGGTATTGATCCACAGGGACTATTGTGAAATTAAACTAATTTAATTGTTAAATTCCTAAATTAATTTTGATAAAAAGATTGAATGTTCATAACCTAATTTAATAACAAATAAATTAAACTAAGGAATTAAATTATCAATAATAAATGAAATTGGGGTTTACTGAATTGGGAAAAAATCCTAGGGTAGAGAATTCACCACTAATCACATAATTAGGGTTTCCAATTGAAATCAATTATGCTATGGTTTGAACGGATTAATGTTTCGCAACTACAAGCTCAAAGCATTTAACAAGAAGATCATCACATTCAATGTACGAGCACGGACCATCTCAAGTAATACGAACCGTTCACTCTAAACTAAGGTAGAGATACGACTCGTTCCTCGTAGTATGGTTCGTCCCATACCTTGAATGTGAAAGAAAATAAAACAATTGTATGGATAACATTAACAATCACAGAAAGTCAAATATTCGAAAGAATAATGAAAATTATATAAATTTACATAATTAAAAATCAAAAAGAAAACTACATAATTACATGGCTAGGGTTTCATCAAAACCCTAGAAAAGAAGACTAGCCACTCATGGAAGAGTGGAAGGAGGTAGAAGGAGAAGGAACCACCATGGGAGACATCTTGGAGCTTTTGTTTCTCTTCTTTTCCAAACCCTAGCCTCTCCCTTTAGGTCAAAACAACTTCTGAACCCTAATCCAGCCTTTTACTTGCCTTTTTATACTTCCAATCTCGTCCAAACAGGTTTAAAACGTCGGTTTGACTTTCCCAGAAAAAGTCAACGCACGTGCGGGAAAGTCAACTCTGTCCAAACTCTATCTTTTTGCCCATTTTATGCTCCGACGATGTACAACCTGATTGACACTCAACACACATAAAGTATATAGTTTGACCAACAAATGAAATTAAGAGATTCTAATTAACGGCTTCAATGATGTACATTTCGGCCTTAATCAATAGACCTGCACATAGATCTTCATAGCACGTATCCATGTTCGCAACTTGACATTCAACGAACCCCACTCTATCTTCATCACATCCTCAGTGCTTATTTTCTCCACTTCAAGTAGGAAGAGAGTCATCCAAGGCATCTTTCCTGGCATTAATAAAGGCCTGGGTGCATTCTCGATCATAATTCGAATCAAACATTAAATTAGCAATGCACTTGAGGTCAGGAATCAAAGAGAGATGGACCAAATCAATGATGAATTCCTCTGAGCTTCTGCTGATACTATCTCTCTGAAGCACACCTTCAGCTGAGTCATCCCCAAAAGAGACAATTGAGTTCTCATCCACATCTTCTTCACTGGAACAAATAGAAACAAGCTCAGGCTGAAAGGCCTGCTGGTACTGAACAAGCATGTGCCTGAACTCTTCCTCAAGCCTTACCATTGCCATCTGAAGAGCATCATGAGCCCTCCACGATATCCCATTCTCATCACTCTCTCTACTCAAACACAAACTCTCTAAGCCTTCAGTCAACTTTCGAGCTTCAATCACCATCTTCACATACTTACAAGATCTTTCAGAGCCACAGTCCCATATCATAGACTGATCCACCTCCCAATTCGTGACCTTATCCTGAACAGCATTTAGCTGTTCCTCAATCTCACTTAACCACTCGGATTCCCCATCCTTGTTTTCACTAACTTTACTCATAGAGGACAATCGGGTGCCTAGATCTGCCAAGATTTTCCTATCATCATCTGTAAAATTCTTCTTCTTCTCCAATGCCTTTACGATGCGCTGGGCAGCATCAATCAGATTTTCGTCCCCTTCCAACAATGGACATGCAGATTTACAGTCTCCCATAGCATATAACAGCCCCAAGACCACAAATAACACTATTAAACAACACACAACAAAAACCCTGAAACCAGAATATAAAAGCTACCCGCTTAAATTGAAGCCAAACCACTTCTTCCTAGCCAAAATTCATGCTTGATTGATGAAAATTTTGGAATTTCCCAATTCTGCAATTATAAGACCAAAAAATTTCTCAAAACATTATTTAAAACAAGTTTGATGAAATGATTGGAGATGCTCCAAGGACTGGTTGAGACTAATTGGCTAAATTATAGAATTTTGTCAATACATCCCCTAATCACGGGCCAATCCAAATATGAGATAAGATGCACAATTCAATTCAAAGAGATTGATAATCCCATGACTAAGATCATCTCCAATGGTTCATCTTTTCTTTTATCAAATCAAGGGAGAGTCAATCATTTACAGCAAAATTGAGAACTCATCAAATTTGAATATGATGAAAATTTTAAAAGATGAAGCATTGGATATGATTTTTTTTTTTTTTTTCCATCAAAATTGAAGAAGAGGAAGATTTGCAATTGTTGGGGAATTTTTAAAAAGACGAAAGATTGGAGTAGTTCATATGAAAGCTTTTTACTCAAATTTATAATCAAACTAAATAAAAAAATTGGTAAAGGGTTGGACATACAATAACTGTGCTAAGAATACTAATCCAACCTAAACCAAAGATGCCAAAAAAGTAATGTCAATAACATAAATGGGTTTCTAAGATTGCATCGGCAAGAATCAAAGAAGCTGAATAGCAGGAACAACATCTATAATAAATGTAATTTATACAAGTAATTACATCTGTAAAGTAGTGAATTGAAAATTTGGGTAGAGACAGAACACGGAAGAAAGAAACTGACCATTGTGGGATTCGGAGCTTTCTTGGGCCATCACTTTGGAGAAATCTTTTATGTCTACTATTATTCTATACTTTTTTGTCTTTCTTATATTCGCTACTCTTGTTTCTTCTGAATTGCTGTTTAGCTTCCTGAATTTTACGTTCTGCCTTCCAAGAAAATGAACAATGCTTCTATCTTCCACATGCCTTCTCCCTCCGGTCAATTTTTTTTGTTTTTCAAATGCTTCTATTTTCCAGATGCCTTCTCCCTCCGTTCACACACTTAGTCAATTTTTTTGGTTTTTCTGTTTATTTTTTTCAATTATAATTTTATCCGAAACTAAAATTATCATCATACCCTTATCTTCCTACTCCCAAACCTTAATTCACAAACCATAAAAAAATAAAAAATAAAAAATTAAATTTATCGAATCAATCTAAATTTGTTTTTTTAGGTAAACGATCAACACAAAATAAATCGTTCAAATTATCGAAATAATGCCAGTGATGCGATGGGTCGCACTTGATCCAATAGCAAACACAAGCATTTGATCCCATAGCATCTCACAAGAGATGGGACCTATATGTAGACTTCATCTTCTATTTGATCCCTATGTTCTTAACATTACTACTTATACTTGTAAAATAAAAACCAAAAAAATTAAACACCTTAAAAAATCACAACATCTTTAAAAAAATTAACTTGGAATCAACCATTGCCCTTCACCTTTCCTTGGGATTATTTCAACTAAACTAAAGCTTCAAACCAATTCATAGTTACAAAAATAAAATAAAAATAAATCCTCTCCACTCCAATTGTTTCTTCATCTTTTTTTGAATTCTTTCTTCTCCTCCCCCAAATAAATATTTTCTTTTCAATATTTAAAATGACAGTTCTTCGCCTACCTAGTACACAAAATACATTAAAAAAAATTACCTAGTACCTAGTACAGTGTTCCAATGGAGATAGATAGGATATATTTTGTTTCTATGACTTTGGAAGGGGGTCCCCTCTTAAGAAAGATTGGAAGAGCTGAAGGGCCGCCCTTGGCTTGAAAAGTGGAACTTCATGACCTGCCCCTCTCACTGTTGCAAAAGTTAGTCCTTCATATACCTCTGTCCACCCTCCCACCTTCACACCCAAACACAAAAAAACACCACATAAAAATAAATTAAGAAAATTTTAAACACCACTCAAGAAGCATTGATATATGCGTAAAAAGTGTTTTAAAATGTATACAAATATTTAAGAATATGTAAATATCTGCATTGAGATTCAAACCATTTTAATATTATAATGAGATCCCATTTAGTTATGGTCATTAACATGATCTTATAATTTATGACATTGAAAACATGTTTTTGTTCTTTATATGTATTTCTCATTTTAGTATTTGCTAATTACGGGAAAGGAGTATGGTACATACTCCCGTATGTTATTGTAATTAAAGAAGAAAATAGCATAATTTTATACTTTTTGAGTCTTACTTTAAAAAAAAAAATTATAACCAAACAATATATAAAATATAACCAAAGATCTCATGAGTTATAATTAAAATAACGTTATAACTAAAGAAAAAAATTAGGCATAACTAAAAAAAAAATAACATAACTTAGGGATGCATATGATCAGAGATGTGTATAATAGAATTTCCCTTAAACTATACATTGATTCATTAATCCGCGAGATAAGACATTCCAAAATAAGTAATCCCTAGTCATGAGGAGGAATAACCAGCAAAGTTGAGCAACCCCAATGCAAAATAATCACACATATGCGGGATTAAAAGGGTCCCCAACATAAAGTAGTCCGGGTCACAAAAATTTAACTGACCTGTTTGTTAACATACCAAGGGTACCATGAAACCTTGGTAGACAACTTGAGCTGTGCTAGGGAATATCGTGTGGCAGTGACTGGTACTACTGAATCCACATCACCACTACAATAGTTGAAAATTTCACAAAGTAAAAATCAAAATTAGTTGGTATAATACTTAATAAATTTACAATGGTGATTATGGTAAATTGAAAGTAACAAAACCTGAAAACCCAAATTCTCAAACCAGCAGCAATCAGTTCCCGGTATATGGGAAGAATCGATACATCTGTGTCATTCCAATTCCGATTCAAAACTTCACTGCAATTTTTGCAATTTTGTACATTTTTCATTAGAAAAATTCTAAATAAATAGAATCGGATATAATTCTGTTAGAAAATATTTAAAGAAAAGGTTAAAAATGGAAAAGAAGAGAGTTAAAATTCTCACTTGCAAGCAGTCCATTTATATGGAATTTTGGTTATGTTGGCATGAAGAGCTTTCTGCACATCTGGCCTGTTGTAGTAAATCTCGGCGTATCTTTCTGTACATGGATCGTACCCGGAAATCTGCCTGAATATCTGATCAAACTTCAAAAAATAAATTTTAGTTTGGGAAATAAATTCAAAACAACTTACATTTTGAGAAATAAGTTTTGAAATAACTTGAGTTACTCAATTTGATTAATTCTCTATATATACCGGATGGGGACGATGAGGAAGGCGAATTGTATGGCGGGTAGCACCAGTGCTGCCATCGGAGTTGTTGCAAGGGGGTGCATAAATGTTGTACTGATCAATGTTTCCGAATTCTTGGTCCATAGCATAACTGTACAACGACTCGCACTGGTTTGATTCCTTCTGCCTGCTGAAATCGCACGTATTGATCAGTTGCCTGTATGTTCTGTCAGAGATCATGGCATGGCTCCACCAGTATGTCACTGTTCCAAGGTTGTCGTAATAGTTGTCTGTCACTGCATTCCCAACCTACATTGTGCAATTTAGCAGAATGCAAATTCAGAGTCTACCAGGTTGAATGACAAAAATGTTTTAAAAATAAAATAAAATTCTAAGTGCACAAAATCGGATTCTATGATCAGATTCTTATATAAAGGACCCGTATAAAATGGTTGGGCTATATTTTATATGTTAGCATGTCACATTTTTATATATACAGGTGAATTACCATAAATCCTTTGAGATTAATTGGGTGTTTGGAATTGGAATTGTAGTTCATGATTTCTCTAGCCAGTTGAGGCACATAATGGCCGGCGTAGCTCTCTCCAGTCAAGTACACTTCCCGGCTTTTGTAACGTGGGAATCGATCCATCCACCGGATCAGAAACTGCAGCGAGTCCTCCGCTGGATCAAATTTCACATTAGATCGCTAACTAAAAATTCTTCCATGTCATATGAAGAAGCAGAAGACGATAGGGATGATGAATTTGTCATATAATTATCAATCTAAGTATATGGTGTATAAATTGCTCTAAGATCCACTAGTAAGCATAAATTGAGTTAAAAATAAAAATAATCAAGAATCATTTTAGGCAGAAGCTCCATTGACTCACACTAGAGCTTGTTTCACCCTTTGGATTTGAACTAAATAAAGCAACCTGAGCACTAAGATTGTGACACATCAACATTTTGTAACAAACAAAGGCACATATATGTACATCCAGTAATGTTAGGAATCATGAAAAAAATATCATGAAAATGATCATAAAATGTTCTCCACCTTTGGATTACACATACAATAAAACATCACACACTAATCAACGGATGAAAAATTTTCTTGATATTTTTTTCATGATCCCTAGTATTATTCATGTACACCCACTCACACTTATCAACATTTTCTGGATCAGCCCATCTTTCGTAAAATACTAATGTGTTGCAATCTTAATACTTAGACTACTTGGGCAAGTTCAAGCCCAACCTGATCTCATTTGGATAATGTAATCCCTTTTTGTCATGATTGATTTGCTAAAGGCCGTGGTGAATTCGTGACAATCAATCAAAGAAGAGGGCCAAAAATTCATCATAACAGAGTCCTACTAGTCACTGTTGACCATGGCCTACCAATTTGGCTGGTCCAATTTTGCCAAGCTACTCATAAGCACTCATTCATTGTTTTAAAGATAAGAATAAGTAAACATGATAAACATGGTGCAACAAGCAGGAGGTTGTAGGCCCAACCAGTGCGACGATCTCCGGTGTTGAAGAGATCCGATGACCGGTTGCTGTAAGAGAATCCAACGCCGGCCGGAGTTTCGAGGAACAAGAGGTTTGCCAGAGTATTCCATGAGAACTTGTTTAAGTTTAATCCCGAGGCTGTCCTGTTTATCCTGAATGGGCCTATTTCTTCAGATGCACCATATGCTATAGAGGAACAACCTGGACCTGCTTTACCAAAAATTTTGAAAAGGTAAATTATAGTAATTTTTCTTAAAATTTCAAAAAAAAAAAAAAAAAACCATGGTTTGCCTCTTGGGCCAAAGAATGAGAGGCGACCTCCAATACATCACACCTTCCCCATAAATATAAATAATAATAAAATAAAATTTCATATCTTTTCATATTTTGTGCCCCATCATTTCAGGCTTGGCTTATTTTGGTTAGTGAAAGAATTTGTAGAAAGACAAGTGTTTACAGTTACTGCTAAATTTGGCTGTCACGTCTTGTTTTATTATTGGGATAAGTTCTTGAAAATTTCAATCATTTTTTTTTTTTTTTTTTTCCCCATTCTTCGGGGGGGTTGAGAACAAATAGGGTCGACGACAATTGATAGTATCCTTTTAAACTGTTAGTAAAAAACCTATATATGAAATATGATGAATATCATTTATTTTTTTATGAATCTTGTAAAAAAGTTTGACATTCCTAAAATAGTTCTTTTAATTTGAAATAATGGGTGGTGTATGTGAAACGTTAGTAATTCAAATAAGTAAAAATAAAAAAAATAATAATAATGAAATTAATATTATAATATATACTTAGTTTAAGTGGTTTGAATCCTTTTATCTTAAATCTATGGTCGTAGGTTCAAGTCTTACTTACCTTTTTGTGTAACTTTTTTACAAAAAATAAAAAACACTACCAGGCCCGGCCCTGAGATTTCCGGAGCCCAAATCCAATAATCAACTAATAAATTTCTGGAGTCCTTCACATTTTTTTTGTTTCATTGAATGAAAAAAAAAATTGAAAGTAAAGGACAAAAGATTTGTGTCAAAATCACAAAAAATACTTAGTATTACATTACAATAACTAATAAGTATAGCTTGATCCTCACTCTTCTTGTATTTTTAGAAGCAAATAAATCAATCATACTTGCATAATCTAATTTTTTTGTAAAATTATTTTCAATGAATAACAATACTAATTATTTTAAATGGAACTTTCAATTTTTTAATGGATTAATTTATTTTAAGTTAATTTGAGCCTTTCTTAATTTTTTTTGGACTTAATAAATTAGACTAAACTATAATAAGAGAGACCCCTTTTTTGGGTTTATTTTCAATAGATAACAATGCTATTTTTTTTTTGAATGGCCTTTCAATTTTTTAATAGGTCAATTTATTTTAAGTTAGTTTGTGCTTTTTTTATTTTTTTTTAAACTTAAAACATACCTAATATATTACACTAAATTATAATAGAAGATGACCTATTTTTTTAGTCTATTTTGAGGGACATAGGCCATGGCCTTGCGGCCTATGCCCCAGGGCCGGCCATGAATACTACCACGTAACATGAGGAAGGTAAAAATTTCATTACACTAATTGAAGCATTCACTTAATAATAGTATAAATTATAATGATGTGACATGAAATATATTAATTTTTAATTTACCCATATTAATTCACACACTTGCAACATATTCAATCATATACTGTGAATGAATTTAAATATCTAAATTGTGATTTCTAACAATTCTCTATTAAACAAAAAAATAAAACCCACAAAAGTGAAGCTTACATATAAGTCTCAACCTTATTTTATATTTGTATGGTATTATAATTAGAGAAATGTTAGAGATTTCAAAGATTTGTCAAAATTTCTATCAAACATTTTACATGAGTGTGGAATCTACATGGAAGTGTAGAACTCAAACCATGTAAGATATGATTTTGAATATTCTAAATAAATGTATTTTTTTAGTTTTCATAAAAAGGTGTAAAAAAACAGAAAAAATTGTGTAAAAAAATAAAGATAAAATATTGATTGATATGACTTAAATAAGTTGTATCCATACAAAAAAAAATACACTTTTAGTGTATGCCAAACTAGTACTAAGGCCTAATTTGGGAACAGGCTTTTTTAAGTAACTTTTTGACTTTTTTGTTAAAATGTGATATAAAAACAACTAGTATGTTTGGGATGACTTTTTGGCTTTTTACGAAAAGATGTGTAAAAAGTAGAGAGAAAATGAAATCTTTGACTTTTTAGTATGAGTTGTTGACTTTTTAATTTTTTTAGTAACTTTTTGACTAAACCGGTCGCTTCAGACAAAGCCTAAGTAAAAATTTTGACAAATTTCTTGAGTCGCTAGTGTTTTTCTTATAATTATGTGAAAATGGACTCGGAATGCTGACAAAGGTAAGAGAGAGTAATGGCTGAGCCTCAGTAAATGAGGTCAGTTTGTGGTTGCTTTCAAGCATTGAATATCTCTGCTATACTCTTACTACTGCTACTACATGCCAATATAAATGTAGAGAGAGAAGAGAAGAGGAGAGAGAGAAGAGGAGAGAGAGAGAGATTGTTGCCCGTGGGGGTAGTTAGATCATCATTCATCTCTATCAATAAGAAAGAAGGAAGCCCACTTGTATAGTATAGTATATAGTATATGAGCATGCCTCATTTTTAATAGAAAAAATTACGAATAAGTGATTTATGAGTTCATCAAAAAATTTATCGTTTTAATTATTAAAATTGATAAAATTTACTATTAATTTAAAATTATTTTTAAAAATATACGTTGATCTACAATTTTTCCTTTTAATATGGGGTGAGGTACATTATTTACTACATCATACTTCACCCAAATCAATTAAACCATAAGTAAATTTTAATTTTTAAACTTTGCAATTCTAATTGGCATTTATGTATGTTAAAACATGAGAAAAATTTGTGTGAACAAAATATGCATAGAAACATTGATGGTGTTTGGGAAGTGAGTTTTTATGTAGATTTTAGTAGATGTAGGTTTTTATGAGATAAAAAATTTTTGGTGTTTGGGAAGATAGTTGGGTTTTTATGTGGTTGGATGTGATGTTTGTGAGAGAAAAAGTGAAATGATTATGGGGTTGGATGTGATATTTTGTTTGTATGTGTTTTTTTTGGTTTTGCAAAACTTTTGTCTTTTAGTGGAAAAAATGAGAAAAAAATTTGGGAAGTTGCTTCCCAAACACCACCATGTTATGGCTTCGTTTGGGAGAAGTGACTATTTTAATAGGTTATTTTAATTTTTGGCTATTTTGGGTAGGTTAAAATTTTTGTGTTTGGGAAGATGATTGGATTTTTTTGTGGTTGGATGTGATGTTTGTGAGAGAAAAAGTAAAATGATTATCGGTTTGATGTGATATTTTGTCTTATTAACTATTTTAACCTATTTTATCTTTTTGTGATTTTTAGCCTAAATTTGGCTATTTTTTTTCTTCCCAAACACCCCTTATGTGTATGTTTGTGTTAATTTTATGTGCACATATCACAGCTGCAACTTGCAAAGCATTCATTGAAATTTATTCTTGGAAATAAAATACAGTGCTAGACTAAAGAAAGTAAATGTTGATATTATTACATTGTATATCTAAGCTTAATTCTTTTTAACGACATTATACTTTTTTTCCTTATTAATTTGACAAGAAAATGGTACATAAATAAAATTGGTATATAGAAATTTCATCTATAATAATGTGATAATGGTACTTTTAAAATTATAAACTATAACGATAAATATTTCATTTATGTTGTGTTTGGTGGGGGGATTTAGGAAGAAATTTAAAGAGGAAAATGAAAAAAATAAATGAAATGTGAATAAAATACGTATATATTTCACATAGTTTTACACCTTTTCCTTTTCTCTTTCTAAATCTCTCCCAAAATCTTCTAACCAAACACACCATTAGTAGGCAAAGAAAGTACTAAATACAAAAATATTTACATCATTATACATGAAAGTTTGGACATAAATTCAATTATTGTATAGTATTATTATATATATACGTGTGTTGTATGTATAGAAGGATTATATACACAACAACTTTCATATATATGCACAGGGATTCAATTTACCTTTAAAATCATCTTTTTATCATATTCGCAACAAGGTTACTCCTATGTATTTTATTAAGTGTACATTTGAATTGCTGTGAACGCTGTTACGTTTTTTATTTTATTTTTTAAGAATATCATTCCTACTCAATAATAATAATTGTTGCATTCAATAACTGTTATAATAAACTTTTTCCTTCCAAAACTACTAATCAGCTTTCCTACATCACTAAATCCAAAATTTTAAATACAAATTATAGACAGAGAGGAGGGGCTAACCTCCATTAAGCCAAACAACCAAAGGCTTTGACAAGGGGTCATGAGTTGCCTCAGTAAGCCAGTAAAACAGAGCTCTACCAACCACTTGATTGACAGTCACATAGCCTGAAAACTGATCAAAAGAGACCTTGGGCTGCCCAGGAAGTCCCAATATTCTCTCAGCTTCTTCTTCTTCATTTACTTGTTTCACTTCATGTGTAGTAGTAGTAGTAGTAGTAGTAGAACTAGCACTAGCACAATAACACTCATGAAAAACAAGCAAAGCAAAGACCACTGTAACAAAGATATTTTCTTTGGCCATTGACAATGGCCTTCAAAGAAGAAGAAGAAAAAGAAAATTAAATGGCTGTCCCTAGTTGTTTGTGTTATCGGAAGTAAGGACTGTGTGTCACTCTGGACAGGATTAAATAGGAGGGAGGGAATGAAATAAATTATTTGGGCACTCTCAGTTTTTGTTTATTGGGGCAACCTATGCTTGAAAGACAACTTTGCACCTATGATAGAATGGATGGAGGATCATCATTTTTTGAAAAATCATATGAATCTGAAATAATTTATTAAATTTTCATTAAATCTTCCATATAAGTGTGAGACCTATACAAATTTACATGTGTGTAAGGTTTGATAAAAAATTTGATAAATTATTTGGAATCCGTAGTATCACTCTCTTCTTTTTTTTCTCCAAAACTTATATTCATGACAATATGATGGTGTGATTTGAGAAGTTGGTTAAAAATTAATTTTTTTATTTTTTTTATTTTTTTATCCTTTGTGGATAAAAAATATAAAAAATAATATAATCTAAAATTAATTAAAAATTAAAAACTAACTTTTAAGTAACTTGTCAAAAGAACCCGTGTTATTTTGATTTTTATCAAGTAATAGAAATAGGAATTAGAAAAACAGTTGGTTGTTTGACAGAGAGTGGGTATTGGATGGATCACAGTCTCACTTCGATGATATAACTTATTTATTTTGTTAGTTTTTGTATATAAAATATTTGTAAAAAATTATATTAAATGATAAATATATTTTTTAAAATAGATTGAATATTTTTTAAAAAAATAACAAAAATATTTAGGACCCTCAAAGTTAGGAATCCTCATGACTCTCAAAATGATGTGAACTAATAATGTGTTTTTATTTTTATTTTTTTCTTTTCTTTTCTTCCTGGACTAATCACATGTAAGTGAAGTTGTATTTTTTAAGGATCTATAGCATTGTTAAAAAAATAAATACAATCAAATCGTGCCTTTACAATTATTAAAGTAATTTAAAATTTTTAATAAATAATCTATAAATGAAGAGTAAACAATTACAAAATAGATGATTTAAATCATCAAAACAAAATTCGTGACAAAACCCATAAGTCCAATTGCACCATCCAATTCATTTAAATAAATTGGAGAGTAGATTAACTGAGAGAGGTTTTTTTTATTGGAGAAGTGATCACAAAGTAATTTTTTCACTCGCATAAAAATTAATTATAAAATTAAACACAATTCCCTTAAATAGTTGATGTAAAAGAATTCTCGACTTTATCGAAACAAGAGTGCCCCCTATCAATGAGCAAAATTTATAAATATTTCTTATTTCTTATTTCTTATTTCTTATTTCATTAATGACGTGTTTGGTTGGGAGATTTGGAGAGAAATTTGAAAAGGCAAATGAAAAAGATAAGTGAAATATGAATAAAACATACTTATATTTCACATAATTTTATACACTTTTTCTTTTTTTCTTTCTAAATTTTTTTTAAAATTCTTCAACCAAACACAGCATAAATGTTGATGATTAATAAATGGTATCACATGTCTTTGCACGCCTACGAAGCAGTCCCCTCGAATCCTCCATTAATTCCTCTTGTATTTATTATGCATTTGAGACTTTGACCCGCCTTTTGTTTTTCATTGGCTATTTGCCTCTACCCTTTTCCATTTTTCCCACCATTTTTTTTTTAATTTGTTTTTTTCCTCCTTTTGTTTTGTTTTGTGTTTTTGTCATGTGTCGTGTTTGGATAAGCTTGAATATGGGTTGTTTCTTACTTTCAGTTACATTTTTTGTTCAATGTATAAAAAGTTTGGTCCATTTTTTGTCATCCATGTGTTTCTTACTTTATACTTTAATGTTGACACTTGCTCGAGAAATTGTCCGGAGAAATTATTCATTTCTCTTCCAGAATAAATTTAGGTGTTAGGTTTTTATTCTTGGCAATTCTGTTTGGCAAGATTCTTTTTAGTTGTAATTTTATTCTTTTTATTTTTTATTTTTTAGTGAGGCTATGAGTTTTTAAATGAGAATCCAATTCGAATTGTGCCTTGCAGAGAAGTTTGTGATGTTAATTTTTTCATGTTTGCCACTTCGTTGACTATGTCAAGGATCGAGCTGTCCGGTTAGGTCGCGGGGGTCAAAGGGGCAGTGTCTTGGCAGGATCGAGGGGCAACGCCCTTGAAGCAAAAAATAAAAATGCAGTCGAAGTTGCTTATCCGCTTAAGCGGCTATTTGTACGCTCGAGTGGAGAATCTTTAGTTCTAGAAATTTAAATTGTCTGCAAAAGTACTACAAGTTGTGTTTTTGCGCTGGAATGGCCATTCTTGCACTCGAATGGCCATTCTTGCGCTCAAGCAGAGATCGCGGATCTGTTTTCTATAAATATGCAATTCAGTCAAATTTTGGGGTTATGATTTCCAGATCTTCTTCTTAGATAATAGGGTTTTCATCTGGGGCTTCTTTACTTGTTTTCCTTTGATTTCTGTGAGAGATTAATCATGAATTGAGTGGATCGTATCAAACGGTTTGTTTGTTTGTTTTATTCAATACAAAAAAGAGAGTTGTTGTTCGGTGAATTCTGTGGAATTTGAGCCTGAAACTTTGGTGGATTCTGGAGTGGCTCATCGTCGTGGATTCGACATCGACGTTATGGATTCAACGTTGGACAAGACAATTCCGAGGTGAAGAAGGGGCTAGAAGAGGCACATAGGGGTCGGTCGATTCGAACGTGGATTCGTTAGGTAATTGATAGTACACTTGTTTAATTCTTTTATGTCTTCTTAGTGAATTATTTTGTAACTTTTGCCCGTAATTTTTTTATCACAATTGGAGGCGCTCCAATTGTAATTTTTTCACGTTAAAATCGTTATGTTAATTTGTCTTGATTATTTGATTGAGATTGTTATTTACTGCTTAAAATTGATACATAATCACAAATCAATATCTAAGGAATTTCTAAATTTTTCATTACGTAGTATTTTAAATTAATAATTAATAATTTATTTTTTTTGTATTGTAAATATTCAAGATCTAAATATAACTTTTATGTAAACGTATAATTGCACACTCTAATTTTTAATAGCAACTCAACTAAACAGTAAGACTTGCTAGCATTCCTATAGTAGTGTGAATTCAAGTGACGAAAACAACCTCTTTAAAAATGGTGGTAAAATTGTGTATATTTATGTATATCTACCATTTCTCTCATATTATTTTGGCACTCATACTTTTTTATAAGAAAAAATAATATTATTTATTTTGAAAAAAGATATATATATTTTTTTAAAACATAAAGTGTGGTTTTGTAAAATAAAATGGACTCTCTCTCTAGGCAGTTCTCTTTACGTGCACGCGAAGGGGAGGGAGGGAGACAGTAATTGGGTTTTTGTATAAGAATAACTAGTATATCATCCGTATTATGTACGGATTGTGTTTGTAATTATCTATATATATAAATTATAATTTTTAAATTTTTTTTTCTTTTTATATTATATTAAAATTTAATATTTTAATAATAATCATACGTGTTAGACTTTTTAAGAATTTTTTTTTTATTATATTATATTAAAGTTTAATATTTTGATAATAATTATATGTGTTAGACTTTTTTAAAAAAAAAATTATGTTTATTCTTAATGCATTAAAGTATTATTATGAGGGATAATAATTATATGTGTTAGGACTTTTCAAGAAAATCATATGTGTTGGATTTCAAAAAAAAAAAAAATTATGCTTGTTCTTAATGCATTAAAATGTTATTATGAGAGTAAGACTTGGGAGTTAGAAGAAGTTAATAAATGTTAAAAAAAAAATTTTTACATCAAAAAATTAAAAAATTTAAATTGAAAGATTAAAGCTCCTACAAGACTTAAGATTAAAAATTCCTTTTTACTTAATATATATAGTATAAATAACATGGTGTGTTGTGTTTTGTGGTGTGGCCATGGTGATGATGGCCATTATGGTTAGCTCTTTCGGACTTGCTTAATTGCCCTCTTTTTCATTGAATTTGTATTGGTCACAAAAGATCCCCCCCCCCCCCCCCCACTTTTTTTTATTATTATTATTTTTAAGCCTCACTTTATCGAGTTGAATATTTTTACTTAAAAAGTCAAAAAAAATATTTAAAAAAGTTTAAAAAATTAACAATATATAATAAAAAGTTAAATATTTTTTTTTCTCTATTTTTTGTACATTATTTTATAAAAAATTAAAAAATCATCCTAAACATATTAACTTTTTTTACATCATATTATAATCAAAAAAATATTAAAATAAACATATTTCCAAACAAGGCCTTAGTTCCTTATTACTAAATTTAGCAAGCACTGTTGTTCCAGTTGTTGGTAACCATCATCAGCTCAAGCTCCTCTCCCTCCCCCTCTCTCTCTCTCTCTCTCCCAACAATATCTCTCTAACTTTCACTGAGCTTGTCTCAAGTCGAGATCAAAATTGGACCCGTCCAGTTTAGTTTATGGGATCCATTTTTTTGGTCTGTTTTGATAATCCGAACCGTTCAATGTGTAGAACTCGTCGAGTACTACATGCCTGTAAAAAATCACTTTGATCGGATATCAATAGTTCTGTGATCAAATCAGTTTTGTATAAAAAAATGGACGGTGAAAAAATTAACGATTGATAAAAAACTATTTTGTTCACGTAGCTATCGATATCCGATCAACGTGATTTTTTACAGGCATGTAATACTCGACGAGTTCTACACATTGAACGGTTCGGATTATCAAAACGGGACCCGTGATGGAGCCCCACTGGCTCAATAGTACAGTTCAATCCGATCTTAGATTGAACCAAAGCCACTGCCTTCACTAAAATACAATTTCAATTGTATCTTTTCATAATTTCGTCCCTTACTTTGCCATCATTTGTGAGATTGCCACTTGTTTAGAGACGGACGCAAAAATTTAACATTAATATCAGTGACAGTGAAAATATCATTCCAAAAAATGTCATCAATGTATTGTTTTTTTTAAATTAAAGAATTGTGGTGGGTCTCTCAGGACTATGTTTTGGTGACTATTTTAGTGTTCACTTTTTTGTGATTGGTCAACAAGCTCAAATTCTAATCTCAATAAACTAATGGGTATTGATGCAAATAAAAACTTTATAACAAATGTGTGAAAGAAAATATTAATTTTTGTATTTAAAGAGGAAAATAGTTTATATTTTCTTTTTTTTTTCTTCCTTCTCTAATACAGTCGT